TAGGTACTTTTTTTGGGGGATATTTGTGTTTCTTTTTCTACTTAATTAGATTTCATTATGTGTATAGATATCATACTAATAAAGAACAGATTGTTGATGATTTCGGAGTCCGTTTGGATTGCCAAGGTCAAACGGACGAGCTGACACAGTTTTGTTGGGATAATTTTGATAAGTTCGTTTTGACTTAAAAAGATCCTAGTTTGTATCGGAAACGGCCTAACTCGCAAAAATTAGCAACTTTATTATTATTGGAGTAGGATGTAGTTAAATCGAATTCAGTATAAAGCAGATCTTTCAATCAATTTTATCAATAATATATTAAAATTCTTTGCTAGTTTTCTTTAACTTTGTGAATTCAAAGTTACTCTTATTTCTTATCTCTTGTGAACGTTTCATAACTTTCGTTACGTCACATACTGACTTGGTAAGCAGGGAATTCGACCACAACGCCTTCGTTGTGAGTTCAGTGAGAGAAAATGTTAAACATTTTTATCTCACGTCAATTTGGATGAAGAAGGACCGTTAAAAGTCAAAATCGAAATCCCTACATAAATCACTAATGGTATCAAATCTACATTTTTAATTTAGGATTAGAAAAGTACAAATTTTGACTTACATTTTCTCGGATTTCAAATTTAAAGTGTTGGTCCCAATCGTAACATGAGTAACAATAAGCAAAGTGGAACCTAGATCCTCTGTACGACATTGGATGATGAGATAAAATCACGGTGAATAGGATTCAATGGTATGATTTGGGCTGTGTACTACTATGGAGTAGAGTACAGTGTAAACCAGATAATCAATGTCAACACAGAGTATATACTACATGGAATATGTACACAGGGAACCTACCTCAAAACGTGTTACAAACTTAGCTTGTCACTTGCCACATGCCAAATGTATTGGAAACTAAAGGAGTAACTTTCATGTGGAATGTAGAATGTGGAATAATAAAGACGTATGGGTGTTCTTTTAATGTCTATAAATCCCAAACAGAATTCTTAAATTTAATCAGGAAAACAAAAAATTTTACATCCCATCTCTCTTTTCCTTTCCTTTCCTTTCTTTTTATTTTTTATTTGTTAGGAAAGTAATCAAATCACCCACTTATTTTACAAATTGTCTGCTATGGACTTGAATCTCTCACCTCTTTTTTAAGGATGAAGAAATTATACCTCTGAGCTATTGAATTTAAAATAATTATCATGTCACACCAACAATTAAACATGTAAGCGGATCAAATTCGGACTAGATCAGGCTTGATCCGATCCGAATCTGAATCCGACGATCTGATTCGATAATCCGACGGATATGTAAATTCGAATCCGATTTATTAATAAACAGATATTCCATCTGATAATCTGACCTAATAAATATGTAGTTTTTTTTATCAAAAAAAAAAAATTAATATAAATTAATGTCAAAAGAGAATTAAAAAAATAATGATTAAAAGAAAAAGATATAAAACTAAAGATAGGTAAAATATTTTAGGAATAGTAAAAAAAAAAAAAAGAAAAAAAAAAAGAAAAGAAAAGAAAAAGAAAAGATTATTTACTCTTTGTTAATAAATAAATACTGTGACATTATTAGTATGTATATTAGGAGATTTATTAACACGTGGATAAGAACAACACATTATTGTACATATAATATTATGATTTTTTTTTTTTGGTTACCTCTAATATAAATTTGACAGGAGTATATATATATATATATATATATATATATATATATATATATATAATTATTGAATAATTATATATATAATTTTATTCGAATCGAATGAGCATAATCTATATCCGATTTGTTAGGTTAATGAATTATGAAATTTTTTGTTCAATTCATATCTGATTAATCGGATCGAATTCAGATCAGGATCAGCTCCATTAACAAATCTACCAACAATTTAGCCGGAGAGATTCGTCGAATACATTAGCGTAAATGATATTAGCGCTCCTCTCTAAAGAAGATTTTAGGTGCTCAATCCCCATTAGGGACAATATTATGTATGCATTTAGTGGAACTTTAAAAATAAAATAAAAAATGGGTTTGTGGTCTCTTACCATTCAAATGGTGTAAAAATCAACTCAAAAGATTCTTACAAGCTAATTGCTTGATATTTTTCTGCAAAACCCTTTTTGAAAATTTTCAACCAACTTCATAATTCATCATCTTTTGAAAAAAAAAATCAAAAAAATCAAAAAAATAATACTCCAGTACAAAGGGGGCCTCTTCACAAGTACATACAACCTGCAAATATATATATAAATATATATATATATATATATATATATATGCATAATGATGCCATAAATGTGGTGTGTTGGGTTGGGAGGGAGGCCAACTACTAGCATGAATATTTTAAAATCCATTTAGTTTGTTGGATCATTTTACTGCCAATACACAATCACTCAAGGGGCAACTTAGTTGTTGGCTGCTTGGGCCAGGTAGATCTCTCCTATCAACCGCACACACTTTAATGAATTAGTAGTATATATATATAGTACTACAATATAATTATTTTTCTTGATTCCCTCCCATGTAGCACAAATACCTCCAACCACCATTCAAGACCCAAATAAATGTTCACAACCATCATCTTGCAAGACTTGTTATTATCTGCAAAAGATTGTATGGAGGTACTTATACAGAGTTATGTGTATATATATATGTGTGTGTGTGTGTGTGTGTGAGACATTGTGTTGATTATGATTGCTTGACTAGTAAGTCTGATCTGGACTAGCTAATGTGATGGTTTTAATTATTTTTAAGATAATAAATTATTATTATTATTATTATTATTATTATTATATATCCAAATGTCAAATGTGAGAAAGGGCTGTGGTCCATCTATTATTATTATTATTATTATTATTATTTTATATTTATATATGTATATATAGTGACAGAGTGGCTTTAAAGTTAGGTCACAATTCACTTGAGGCCTTTACTAAGACCACATGTAGAAAGCAAAGTCTCATTTAAGGGTTGTTTGACTAATGTTTTTTTGTTTTTTTTTTTAGCTTTTGTTAATATAAGTAAAAACACGAAATTTGTTTAGTAATGTTTGTTATTATTTGAGTAATATCTAAATGCTTTTAAAATTGAGGTCAAAATCGAAAATATAAAAATGATATTTTTGTTTACTTCCGCACTGTAATAAAGTATTGTTCAAATATATATATATATATATATATATATATATATATATATATATATATATATATATATATATTCTTCCTAAATTGACATTTTTAACTAGTTATTCAATTTTTTCAAACTTGTAACACTTTTTACCAAAAATGCTTTCATGTTTTTGCTTTTAAAAATCTTGTAGCAAATTTTCGTTACCAAACAAGCTTCGAAATAGTGTTGAACACACTGCAAAGCAAAAACAGGTCAAAGCAAAAAGCATGAAGCAAAAGCGGTTGCAAATACGCCCTTAGAGAATGTCTTATTGTCATTTCAATTTTTTTATCCACATTAAAAAATAAAAATAAAAACAAAAATAAAATTTTGTTACTTTGTATTTAATATTTTCAATATTTATTTATTTTAAATACACTAGATTTTAAAAAAGAATTATAAAGTTGATTAATGTAACTTATACTAACTATCTAAAGATCTCATTTCAAAAAAATTGTATTAAGCCTGAATTTGTATTGAGCATGCCTATATAATATATTGTGAACGTAAATTGAAGTATCAAGACAACTCATTTCATTCAAAAATGTTATCAAAGATAAGAGTCAAGTTTTATGCTCCTTTTGGTAGTAACGAAAGGAAGAAGAGTGGATGGAAGATAGGAAAGAATAAACAAATTTCTTTCATTTGGTAAAGAGGAGACAAGGAAATGAAAAAATATGATGAATGAGCCATCCTTTCTCCTTCACAAATTTTTATCCCTCCAAATATGGGCGAAAACTGTTTTTATGTTACGAAAATTTCCTTATAATTAGTCTTTTCTTCTATCGTAATAAATAAAGTAAGATATTGTATATTATTTTTTCTTTCATCCAACCAAATAAAAAGAGAGTATGACAAAATCTCTTCTCTAAAGATATTTCATTTATTTCTTCTTCTTTCCTTTCCATATAAATTTCTTCCATCCCACCAAATAGAACATTTATATTTTCCTCACACAGGCAAAATTCACACATAATTATTATTTTTTATTTTTAGTTGGTCTTTAACAGTTAGTAATAGTTTCCACATCTCTTGTTTTACACAGAAAACAACAATAATAATGTGAGAAAATTGTAGTTCACTGCAAAATTTCATAATTACAAGATAAAACAAGATTAATCTTTATAAGATTAATTAAAATTTCTTGACTCGGGTTACTTTATAAGATATTTTTTATTTACAAATTCATATGAGGGTATCATATATATATATATATATATTTGTCTCTCTTCTTTTTGTTTGAGATATTTGACCCTGTTTTGAGTAATACTTGCTTGCTTACCAAATATATATTATATATATATATATATATATATATATATATATTGGTTTTTGTACAGAGGATGAGGAGGTCATAGGTTAATAATGGTGAACTGAACTTAACACGTGACGTCTATTCATTTCTTGTGGTAGGCTAGACCTAAGTTGGTACAGCTGCAATTTATTGTGAACCAGATGATTATGAAGAAATTTGATGGACAAAAGACTCATCTTTTGGCGGGCAAAAAGGAAAAATAAAACCAACAAAATAAAGTGAAAAATTAGGTGGAATAATCAAAAACTAAAATGGGCAATTCACTGCACAAATTTCGGACTGCTCAGCCTTATCTCGGTCTAATTATTTTAAGCTCAGCACATAGGATCTCTTTGTGCTATTTAGTGGGGTTTATCATTATTTAAATTTAAAAAAATTGTTGAAACATAATAAACATCTTGAATGACACCAACTACCAAAATCAGGCTTTGGGCCCTTCATTAACTACGGACATGTTATGACTTTGCCAATTGCCATATTTATAAGTTAGCTTCAACATCTTCCTCTTCATGCTCAACTCAGTTTCTGTCAGTATCTGCAATTTGCATCCATGGCTCTTCATCAACTCATAGCATCACTTGCCTTTGCACTGCTTCTCATGAGGCTCCAGCTTTCGGCATGCCATCCCATGAAGGGCTCTGTAACTTGCCTCGACTGTAATCAGCACAGTCACGATCTCTCCGGTTTGTCCCAACTTTTTCCCACCCTTTTATTTTCACGCACTCACAATATCTCCTATTAGGTCGGACATTCAATCTCCTCTCTAACAGAAAAGATTATACCATCTGGTCTAATGTCTATTAATTTCATTTTTTGTAGCTTATCGCTAAAAAGCTTATGATAACTTATGTTGTTGCATGTTTAATCATTTTGTAGTCAAATAGGGATGTGCATGATGAGTTTTATGTGTAGCCATTTAAGTTCAAGTATGAGCCGAACCTAGATCTAAGTGTGTAAGCTGAATCAAGAATATTCACTAGGCTTAAACTAATTGGCTCGTTTATTGACTTTGGATTTCAGAGTCAAACTTGAAGTACTGGTCTATCTTTGTCTTGATAAATTTAAGCCTTAACTCCCAAGGTCAAGGTTTTGAGACCGAGTTAAAAAAAAAAAAAAAAAAAAAAAAAAAAGTTGTGAAACTAGAAAATTCAAGTTTGAGACTAGCGTTAACTACATGTTTAAGCATTGTGTAGTCAAATAGGGATGTGCATGATCAATAAACAGTTGTTTGCATGAGTTTTATGTGTTCCATCAATTATATAGCTACTCGTATTTAAGTTCGAGTCTGAGCCGAGCCTAGATCTAAGTATTTAAGCTTAAACTAATTTGCTCCTTTGGAGTTCAAAGTCAAACTTAAAGTACTGATCTACTCTTTATCTTGGTGGATTTGGGTCTTAACTCCCAAATTCTAGGTTGAGGTTTCGAGACTCAATTAGAAAAAGAAAAGAAAAATGGTCAAACTAGAAAAGTCAAGTTTGAGACAAAAATTGATAACGAAAAAATTTTCTTTATATGTAAACCTAAACAAATCCAAATAAAAATACCCGGCTACAACTCAAACATAATGTTTGATTTCACTAAGCTCTTATCAAGTTACGTCTAAATTGTTCATGAATAGTTTGTTAATTTTGAAGTCCTAAGCCTAATATCGACGAGAGCTAGGTAATGAATAGCTCTTTGCTTAGTATACACTCATTTTAATGAATTTCATCGCTATCTTAGTTCTTATACATATTTTTTCCAGATATTAAGGTTCTAGTGAAATGTAGCCAAGTGAAGAAGTTGGGTATGGCAAGCACAAAGAAAGATGGCTCCTTCGAGACAGAGCTTCCCGTGGACACATCTCTTCCTTCCACCAATTGCCTGGCGAAGGTCATAGGTGGTCCCACCCAGATCTACGCATCCAGGGAGAGCATGGTCTCCCAGATTGTGAAGTCCGGTGAACCAAACTCGTTCACCATATCGTCTCCTCTCAACTTCTACACATCATGCCCTATCAAGGGCGCCAAATGTGGGGCCCAGAACACTGAGTTCGGTTCATCCAAGACCGTTGATCTACCTATTCCGCGGGAATGGGGATTGGCGCCAACTAGCTATTATGTTCCTTTCTTGCCCATCATAGGCATACCTTAATTAAGTATGCTACTAATGTTCGTTCTCTAAGTTGTTAAGGAATTGAGTAGCTACTAGCTAGGAGAGAAGACTGATAGGTCTTGCTCTTGTATGCTCTCTGTATGTGTAGAATGTTTTATTTTCGAGTTCAAGTTGTTTCATGTCATTGTAGTAATCTAAGGTATAGTGAGTCACGTATATGTATGATATATTGGTCTTGCTCTTATATTATGGCCTTTGTGTGGAGAATATATATATATATAAGCTCAAATTAAGCTCGTCCTTTTTCTCTCTCTCTCTCTTTTACAGTTCTATTGCATTCATACAATTAATTTTTTATTTTATTTTATTTATTAGGTAAAGTACTCACACGACTCCAACCCCTTCCATTCTTTTTAAGAACGGAGAGGTTAATTTGGAAGGAAAAGTAATATATATTATATTGTGGTATTTATGTACACATTTACATTATCATGAGGTGATTTTTATTACTCACACAACATGGGATTTAAAATGTTGCTTGAACCCATTTTTGGAAAAAATGGGAACTATAAATCAAACCCAAAATATCAGAGTTGGGTTGTTGCAAAAACTATGGAATAATAAAGTCGAGGCAATTTTGTGTATTTATGAATAGCACATGTGAATCACCTGATCATTTACTCGCATAAGTTTAGAACTTGTTGAATTTAAAAATCATTGTGTACAACATAATATATATATATATATGTATGTATGTATGTATGTAAAGTCAACCATTTTATTGGCTTTGCCAAATTTATGGAGAAGCCCATTATACAATTGATTAATCAAGTGGGTTTTAATGATGACCATAATCAATATAACAGTAACAGATCCAGCCCAGTTTCCTATCTCACGGGCCAAGCCCATTAAAAAACTCAATGGGCCATCCTTGTAAAAAGAGTCTCATCACAAAAAGTAAAGGATTGAATTTGTATATGCGATTCACTTTAGAAGATTAACTAGAACTAAACAAATCATAGCGATTTTAACAAAATTGGAACCAAACCATTTAGTGGGAATCAAATATATATATATATAGAACTGTGTAAATTGAACCAATCTTATATTGTATAAGTTCAGTTTGAATTAGTACAATTTAAGAAATGAGCTTAGTTATCTAAACAATTAAGTTAGTTTAAACTAAATCTTGCTTGAATTCAACTTTTATGGCCTAGATATAATTTTCTTCTAGTTCCTCGTCAAAATCAAAAGTGGCATTTTATTTCTAATTTGTAAGATTAGTAAATAACACAATAATAATATAATATGTCTACAAAAATAGAATATGTAATTTTTTTATTTTTTTTTTCTTAGAGCACGTATATCAGCTCCACAACATATGCACCATTTAAGTAAGGAGTGCGATTCGAAAACGAGACTATGTGATTGGGACTAATTTCAGAATAAGCAATATATATAACTTTGATTTAATTTCTGACAATATGTCCCTAATTCAACATAAACTATACGGTTGTCGATTTTCCTTTGCCTTTATATGAATTAAAAAGTTTTTAAAATTTTATTACTAATTACAATGTGTTAAATGAAATTTAAAAATAAAAAATAAAAAATCGTGACCATCAAAAATGTAGTAGCAGTAGCAAATAATATATATATATATATGTTGAGAAGGTCAAATAAAACATTATTGACAACTCATTACGAAGCATAGAGTCCAATATGAGTTGTGACTTTCCATCGAGATCAAGAGACCTGGTCTTAGAGGGATTTGGATTTGGATTTGTGAATGTGATGGTTTTTTCCGTATTGTCTCGTTTACCGCTTCGTATGCGCGTAAAAGTTACTACCATGGATAGACATGTTGTTGATCGTTGTCCAGTCTGTCCTCCACACTATCATTGGATGGTCTCTTTTGTCTGGGAGTATCAATTCCTATCATTGGACACACTGAATTAACCCCCACAAGCTTTATTGACTCCGCCTTGACCCTAGCCCATTTCAAGTGTTCATGTCATCATCATCTAATTCGCCACCAAAAACCCACGTCATTCGATTATAGCAAGTGTCACAGGACACGAGTGACCTAATATTTAAGGGAATTTAAGGAACGAGTCCTGAAGTTTAACTTTGTCTTGTACTCCCTCTGAGTCATAATTTTTTAAGGCGTTATTTAAAATGGGATAAAGTACAAAAAAAATTCCCTTGATCTTTACTCTTTCTTGCAAAAAAATCCTTCTGAACTTCGTTTTTTTTTTTTTTTTAAGTAAACCCCCTAAACTATGACAATTTTTGTAAAAATCTCCAACCGTCAATGTTCCGTTAGTTTGTTCACCTGAAATTGGTCTATGACGTAAGCAAAATTAAAAATGACAAAGATACCCTTAGTACAATAAAGTTAATAAATGAATTTTTTAACCCCAAATCAATGGACAAAGAAGATTCACGGCCTCTCGCCGAACACCACCTTCTCCTCCTCCTCCGCCAATCTCACCTCGCCATGTGTCCATTCTCCGGCGACACACTTCGCTGCTTACGTCGCAATAAGGGTATCTTTTCAAGAAAAAAAAAAAAATCAACTCCATTCGCTGTAATCGATTCTATCTCAGTTGTTGTGATCTGCAATCGATTTACACACATATATATGAACGTATATAAGACGTTCGAATTTGTAAGACGTTCGAATTTGTGAGAAAATCAATTATTTAACTACTGGACTCTGACTCTCTCATTCATCTACCTCATCGTATTTTCCATCTTCTTTGTTCTTCCTCTATATCACCGTTAATGGAGAAAGACACACACCAAATCCAATCAACCCCCAGACTCAAGACCCAAGTCCTCTTCTGCAATCTTTAGTTTATCTCACAATTGTAGCATCCGTCAATGGAAAGAGACATTATCAATCAACTCCAACATCATTGTCAATAGAGAGACCCAACACGCACCAAATTCGATCAACCCCAATATACAGCCTGTTTAAATTGGAACACATTTTGATAGTGTAACCTTACAATTTCCTCTCAGTTTCTTCAATTGCTTGTCGGTGCCAGGGTTGTAGGTTGCGCTCCCTTTGCACCATAAAGTCTCTGTTCCTAATCTCGGACCACATCAACGCCATACCCTCCAAGAGTTGTCATTTTGCAATGAGTGATTTAGAATTTGCAGTGGGTGAGTTAGAGTGATTTCTGGCACAAGCGTTGATGGTGTTTGGCCCTAAAACGGGATAACAAAAGCAAGATGGTGATATTTTCTGTTAAGGATAAATTGGTAATTTATTGTGTACTTAATGGAAACTTCACATTTTGTCCTTAAATGCAATCAGCTAATAAATCAGGGGTTTTTTTTACACTTTACCCTTTAAAACGAGACTGAGGTAATAATAATTTTATTAGTTGCATGCATAGCCTCTTATTATACATAAATAAATATATAAGTATTTTGGATATAAGAAAATACAGCATGTTTGGTTTGTCATACCTTTTCAAAAATTAATAAAAGATATTTCTCTTAAAATGATTTTTTTATAACTGAGTTTTCAGAAAACTGAATAAAACAAAAAAGATTGTACAATATTTTGATTTCCCGAACTGAAAATTAAAAAATTATTTTATAAGTGACAAACCAAACAAATCCTAATATTTTTATATTTTTAAGACTATATGTGATTGTTTATGTAAAAAACCTAACTTTGATATACTTGCTTTAAAAATTTATACAAAATTTTTTTATAATAATTGAACAGTAGTTAAAAATAATAATAATAAAGAATATAAGGTATTGGATTCTTTTCAAATTTTAATACGAAGGAATACTATTAACTTCGTTTCAGCCACCCAAAATATCAAAAAAAAAAAATACTTATACTTAAAGAAGGGATCCATAACTTCTATTCAAGTAGTTTATGTACCTGCAGACGATTTGACCAACCTGGCTCCATTTGCACATTTAGAGATTACGCATTGAATTTTGGTTAATAGATCCATAATAAATAAATAAATAAATGCTTGTTATTATTTCAAAAGAAATGAAACAAAAGATAACGGTAGAGGTAAGATAGTCACATGATATGAGTGATTTTATTTCATGTCAAGTATATGTAATTTATACCTTAATAATAAATAAATAAATAGACTATCAAGTTTAAAAATAAATAAATTTTTAGAGTACTCTTCTTAAAATATATATATATATATATATATATATATATAATGGAAGGAACCGTAGAAGATTTTTCACAAATGTGAACTTGACGGAATTGTTGGACCATCTGCTGGACATTCCTTGACCCGGCCCTGAAGTCCCTCCTGTGTGTGTGTGTGACTGTGGGTATAGTAACGTGCACTTGAATTTTGGCTTTGGAGGCTTTAAAAACTACTAACTAAGTAACTAGTACATGTCAAAACGCATTCTTGATGTGTAGGACCCATATCATTGCACGTGCTTTGACACTTTTGGTTTCTCAACCCACCAACAAGTGCTACCTACACCCAATACTATTATACTATTATACTATCGATCTGGACCATCACATGGTACTGATTGCGATTGCCCAAATCATTTTTTTGTTTTTTTTAGTATAAAATGATCTGGATCGTCCAAAGTAGTACAACGAACCAGATTCTTTTCTCTTGTTATTTTTATATTGAGTTTGTTTTGTGTTTAAAAAGCATAATTTTACATTTTGAATGCAATAATATAATTATTATATAAATATATTAAAATTTTAATTTAATAATACTATAATGTTACAACGTTACGTAATAGTAATGTTATATTTTCCGTATATAAATATGTTGCAACTTGCGTCACTTATAAATATGTTGCGTAATCATATAAGGACGAGTGCACAGGATTCCTTGGAGATAAGGGAATCTGGATTCATTATAACACGCGGAGACTGTCGCCCCACAATAGTTAAACAGAGGTCCCACATATTCTGGCCCCACATAATTAAACCATTGAATTTTGGACTGGCCCATTAAAGACTTTATTCGTGCATGAGCCGTGTTGGCAATGAGGGTGCAGTGAACCAACCATGTGGTGGCATCACGGAGAATAGAAAACCAGTCTCTGACTTGTTCAAATATTGGATTATATTGAAATAAAACTAAAAGTAAAAACATTATCCGTGTAGGGGACAAAATAACAATTTTTTTCTTTGCACAACCGCGTGGAAGTCCCTACTCCCAAACCCTAACCCAACTTTTCTCCTTTCACTCGGCATCAACCTTCTTGCTCTCTCTCTCACACACACACGCACAAAAACGCACTATAAATATGTGGTTCATACTAAACTCGAAGACAATAACAAAACACAACCCCAGAACAAAAATCAGTAGCTCTTCTTTGTCGTGACCGAGTAAAAATTCAAATACATACTTTGTGTAAGAAGAAGAATGGAAGAACGCCCACCAGGCTTTCGATTCTACCCAACTGAAGAAGAACTGATTTCATTCTATCTGCACAACATGCTCCAAGGGAGGAGAAATGAAATCAACAGAGTCATCCCCGTCATCGACATTTACGAACTCGAACCATGGCATCTTCCAAGTCAGCATATTTCCTTCTCAATCTTTTACTTTCGTTTCCGCTTCAATTACTTCAGAAATGGTCGCGGACTTTTAGTGCTCGATGTATTGATTTTGATTTTGTGATTTTTTTTTTTTTTTTGCAGAGCTCGCAGGAGAGTCGTGCCGTGGAGATACAGAGCAGTGGTTTTTCTTTACACCGAGACAAGAGAGGGAGGCCAGAGGAGGCAAGCCTAATAGAATTACAGCTACAGGGTACTGGAAGGCCACTGGCTCTCCTAGCCATGTTTATTCTTCCGATAATCGAGTGATTGGAGTGAAGAAAACAATGGTTTTCTACAAAGGGAAAGCTCCTGCGGGAAGAAAAACCAAATGGAAGATGAATGAGTATAGAGCCATTGAACAAGAAGCTGCTACTTCATCTGGCTTTGCTGTTCCAAAGGTACATACTCTTTTTTTCATTTATTTTCTTTTCTTTATTACCAAAGTTCAAATAAATGCATACATAATTACAATATTATCCTAACGCATACATAATTACAATATTGTCCTAGCAAGACTTGAACAGTGAATCATTTGCAAGCATTACCTAAGCTAGGTTCAGAACACGATATGGCTCATGCCTATTGATTCCAAAGGAGCATAGTAATAACAAAAAAGAAAGATCATGACCCAATAGGGCCAATACACATATATTGACTTTTTTTTCTTCTTTTTTTTTTTTTTTTTAAGTTAAAGCAATTACATACACACTTTATTTCTATCTATCGAGGTTCGAATCTCCGACCTCCCTTTAAGAAAAAAAGGAGTGATACCCCTGAGCCATTTTGTCCTTTAGTTACATATATTGACTTGTATTAGGAGGACGAAGACTGATTATATTGTTTTCCAAGTTTGTTCATTATTTTTCAAAGTTTTAATCAGCTAATCATTTACCTTTTTTGTGTGCAGCTAAGGGTTGAGCTGACTTTGTGTCGAGTGTACGTGGTGTCGGGAAGTTTTCGAGCTTTTGATCGACGTCCATTAGGGACAGAAAGGAGAGAGACAATAACCCAATATGTGGTCCATGAAGAAGGGGATGCGACATCTTCTCGGGATAATCCAACGACTGAGAAAACAAGCTCACTTGATACTTCATACTCGGAAGAAGACCATGTAGAACCCGGAGAGATAACCAATTGTGACATGGTTAAAGATCAAGAACCTTTATGGGAGTGGGAACAATTTTGGCTCTAATTAGAAACTGTCACATATTGCAGTTCAGTCAAATTTGTATACATTTTGTAAATAAGTATGAGTAAGCAAGCATAACCAGAGCTTATCTCCAGAATTAGACAAAGTCTTTTTTTTTGGCAAGTAATTTTTGAGGTGGGACAAGACCATGTTTAACTAGGGAAATGTCTGTATTGCCCGTAGGGCTCTTTCTTGTAAAAGCAATGAAGGCATTCGGAGTGTTTGGCCTCAGTGGCTGCTTCAAGCTACAGATGTTGAACTCTCCAACTTGCATTTGTAATCTTCCTTTTATGTATCTATTAAAAAAAAAAAAAAAATTAAAAAAAAAAAAACAACCTAAACAAGGGAAATGTCAAACTTGTCGAGATGTAAAATTGATGACTTTTATATTGTGAAATAATAACATAATTTTATTAATATTTGGGAGAATATACTGCTTGTTGAAGTTTTTTTGGCTTTGGTTAAATGTAATGTTTCTCTTGACCATTTTCTTATCATAGCGGTTGGGTTGCTCTCCCTATCAATCCGATTTCGAAATGTTGCACCTCTAATTTATAATCTAACATTTTTGCCATGGAAAAAAAAAAAAAAAAAAAAATTTGCTATATCCCTCTTTTCCTCCTCTTCCCACCAAACCATTTTATGAAATTTAAGAACTTTCTTTTTTGGGGAAGAATTAACGCAGATACTTTGAATTCTCAAATGGCTTGCCAATTTCATATTTGTAGAATCATTTGCAAATTACACATATTATTTAAGTTTGAATATATTTGTATTTATCAAATTCAATATGACTGAATTTACTATTCCTCCGACCCATCATTAACTGAATCACCGTAGGATTCGTCTGCCCATTACCACTGGGTCACCGTATGATCTGTTGGGAAACGTGCAAGTTTTAAAAACTTTTCGAGGGATTTTGATTCATAGATCTTGATTCATCACATAGAGACAAGTTTTATGCAAAAATAAAAATATGATGTATCATTCAATTAATGGATTGAATACTTACATCAAAGGTCTGAGTAAACCTTTAAAACTTTCCTCTAAAGTGAATGTTCTCACTTATTGTAGATCCCTTAGCAAGATGCCTTCTCCTTGGATCTCCATCTTCTTGGTAATTATTTTGCCTTTAGAAATCACTCATAAGCCTCCATGAATTACCTTGGAAAACTAGGCTTGTGGGAGCCTCTATTAGATGAGACCATAAACCCTAATTTTCTAGAGAGAGAAAATTTATTCCTTTTTCCTTCTCATAAAAATCACCCACTAAAATATACATAGACCATGTATATTTATAGGCAACATAAAAATAAAGAAAAGGAAATAACAAATCTTTCTCCATCTCTAATTCATATGTCTCAAATCTAATATGATTCCAATATCAAGTTGGGCTATGAGTGAGAATCCATTGGGCCTATTATTTTATTGGCTACAATGAATTAATAATTGGCCCGGTCCATGGACCCAATTCAATTAATTCATAAATTAATTTCTACTCCACTAAAAGAAATTAATTGAACTCCAATTAAATAATAAATAACCTCTAAGTCAATATTGCACTTTGACCCCTCTATGCATAATTAGTTATCAGATAAATATAGCCATCAATCCGACTACTTAATTAATATATTTATTTTGGTACCTTTGATTATTTCTGACTCGATCACAATAAAACATTTGTTTGACAAAAATAATAATTTAAATAAATAAATATATAATAAATCATTTTGTCTAAAAACACACGAAGGCCTTCAAATTTACTTTGTGATCAACCATAATCAATACAAAATAAATACAAGTAGCAATGATGCAAATATTGAAAATATAACCCTCTAACTATTAATTACATAACTACCCGAAGTGTCGGTCTAAGGATCCCGAAGAATCTGCCGAACAAATCAAAGTAATTATTAATTAATAAAAGAGTCTATACTTTTCTCATGCTTAAGAGTCAAATGCCATGACGGTGATAGGGAGTAATTGCATACGACGGCTCTCGCAATATATCTCAACCTAACGCGGATCCAGTTCAAGTCTTAATTAATTATGAGTCCATCCATAATTACCGACTATGAACAATTTATAATTACTATTTATATATCATGCATTGATTGCCATCACATACATATACATAAATATTTCTTGTAATTACATGGACACTATCAATTTCATAGTGAATCGAAATATAATACATTGAATTCACCAATTGTATAAAACATAAATATTTCAGAAACGTCAGGAACATATGTCAATTAATCCAAACAGGAATTTGCTATGCCAGGGCATATAAATCCCAACAGCTCCCACTTGCCCTCATAGCCAATTCAAATTGCACCTAATTCCAATGTTATCCAGATGATGACCAAAATTATTGATCAATGACACCTTTGATAATGGATCAACAAAGTTGTATTCCAATGCAATGTTCTAGCTACAAGTACATTTTCTTGCCGAATAATATCATGTAGAACATGATACTTCCTATCAGTGTATTTTGTTCATCTATGGAACCTTGGGTCATTGGTTTGGACTACTTCTGCACTATTGTCGCAATATAGCTCGATAGGCAGGCTAGTATGCTCCACAACCTCTAAATCAGTGAGATCAAATCAATAGGCTTATATTGCCACCTTTAAGGCTGCAATATATTCCACCTGCAGGTTTGAGTCAACAGTTGAAATCTGCTTGACAATCTACCAACTGATTTCCCTTCCATTAAGTGAACATACACTAAGTCATGAACCTCATAGTATCTACTTCTGATTAAAAATCAGAACTAGTATACCTGACTAGGACCATATCATCATATCCATAAATGAGTATGATATCATTGATTCTCCTTAGGTACTTAATGATATTTTTCACAATAGACCAGTTGTCAAGTCCAGTATTGGACTGATCTCTACTGACTATCCCTACTATGTAGCGGATGTCCTGTTTGGTATAGACCATGGCATATATGAGATTCTCATATGCCGAAACATATTGTTCCAGTCTCATTTGTTCAATCTCCTCTGCTAGTCTTGAAAAACTACTTACTAGAGAGAGCGATCCATATCAATAAAGCAAGAACTCATTCTTTGAGTTATGCATACCAAACCTGGTCAAAACTTTATCAATGTAGGATTATTAAGATAAGCCTATTTTCCTTTTAACCTGATCTTGCAAAAGCTTGATCCTAGGAATATAGCTTACATCTTGAAAATCCTTCATTTAAAAGTAATTGAACAACTACCTTTTAATTGATGACAAAACTTCCACGTCATTATAAATGAGTAGGATGTCATCAATATATAGAATTAAGAAAAATAATGACATTCCCTTGTACACTCATGATTTATTCACTAAGAAATCTTCTGGTATCTTTTTGTAGATTAACTTGCCTTCCATAGGAATCACCCTACTAGAAAGTTCTACAAGATCCCAGAATTTATTAGAATACATAGATTCCAACTCTGATTTCATAGTAACTCACCAAAACGATCTGTATCCATATCGGTTCACGCTTCCGTGTAGCTTACTGGGTCCAACTCATGTTTAACAGGGATGTCCATAATGGTCTCACCTAAAAACATGATTCTGTCGAATTGGATGATAATCCTCCCACTACATCAATGTACCGATGCAAGAATCTGTGTAGTAGATGATGCTAACGCATCAATAGGGAATTCATATATTATTCTCAATCTCTATAATAAGTGTGTTCACATGTGGTACATCTGGTACTCATACCAAATTCTCTAACATTATGCTACTAGGTATGTGATTCATAATATGATTCTCCTATAGATAAACAGTGAGTGAAAACAATCAACTTTTATCTTTGAGATCATAAAATAATCCATCCTAGTGACATTTAGAGTAGCTATCAAATCTAGCATGCCTATGATCTGATTCCAACTTACTTGTCCATATCAAACGCACATGTGCAAGACTACCCCATATGTGCATATGATTCAAACTAATATTTAGTCAAAAACACAGCTCAACGGTATCCTTGAGACAGACTAAGATGGAATGCAGTTCATAATGCGCATCGATGTCATTAACACTAAACTCTTAAATGAAAGAGATAACGTGGCATTCCTGATCATAGATCTAACCATGTTAAGTGGAATTCTGTTATTCCTATTTGACACCTAAATTAATTTAGCGTCAATTGCGGAAAACTGGTACACAACACCCTCATTGACCATATAGTCTTTGCACTATCCCAAGAAATACTCAAATACTCGATCAGATCGAAGTGTCTTGATAAGTTTACTTAATCTGTGCTCCACATCAGTCTTGACCCTCTCGGAATATACCAAAAGTATAAGACTTGTGTCGCAACAGGTAAATTTATCCAAAACGTGAGTAATCTTGATTGGATGTTCATAAGACTACACGTGTACGTGTGTACCGACTCCAATTGTTCTTTATGTCTATTTCATTTGGCTGATTAAGCCCTTAGAGTTATCTATCCTTCAAAACAAGATTCACAAGTTTGGTTTAGGCTCCTCTGCCTCACTAGGTAATAAACCTTCTTTAACCAATCTTTAAATCTCATTTTGATTGATTACAACCCAAAAATAGACACCAAAAATACAATGAGTCAGGAATAACAAATTTTCTCTTAACATTCAATCTAGAAGATGCAACATTAGTTTCTACATCCTGCAAATCTTAAGAGCTTGTGATTATAGTATATTAACCATTTTTCAATGCACCAGAAGCAATCGCATATCTATTCAATTTTATAAAACCAGTTTTACAAAATAACGATCTAGTTTTTATAAGCCAAAAGTGAAATAAGAATGAGATTGCGTTTCACTTCTGTGCATAAAGATAGTTCTCTAATACTAATATCCTCATACTCTCTAATTTCAGATGTAATACTCCCACTGACTTAACTACAACCTTGGCATCAGATCAAAAGATAAATATATATCCATATCATCAAGGCTTCTGGATTCCTGAAATCCTTACAATAAATTGCAAACATGTTTAGTGGCTCCAGAATCTATCCATCAGGAATCAATAGATACAACCACATAACATGGCTCAATGATTAAATATATATTTTCCTATGCCACGTCATTGCTTAGACAGTTTGTCCTTTAGTGTCTTAGTTAACGGTAAAAGAAACAGTTTCATTCGCCCTCAACATACACTGCCTTATTCCCTTGAACCTTTTAGATACCTATGTTTTGTGCTAGCCTAGTCCTATTATCATCCTTCTTCTTTGCTTTGCCCGTCCACTTGGGCCTAGAAGAAGATGGTATAGACTAGGTTAGATTGATAGGAACGCCCATACTCTTGATTATCCCTTCATCTGTTACCAATTCTATAAGAATATCAGCGAGTGTGAACTCAAACTAATTCCTTATTTAGTTCACTATAACAGAATCGAACGAGTTTGGTAACAAGACAATAATCATGTCAACTT